AATTTGGTTAAGCTTAATGTTAATATAAAAACAAAGGAAACTATATATAAGTCAAAAGAGATATGATATCATTTTTCATAAGAGCTCTAGTATTATCTTTAATTAAAAAATCGCTGTGTATAACCACAGCTCTACTACAGCTTATCTAAATCCCTTATCCGAATAATAAAACAGCTGCCTTAGGATCTGTTTTTTCTCAGCCAGCGCTTTGCAAATGATCAAACGTTTGTTTCTCTATTCAGGATTTTTATTGTTTAGGTATCGCCCAGACCAGGGCTATCTTCTTGGTAAACTAAGAAAATGGAAATTGATCGTATATCTTATATATTCCCCAAACTTTTTTTTATATACCAGTATTAGACTTTAAGAAAACTTAGTTCCCATTTTTGTGATTACATCTGTGTGTCTTGTATGTGGTGGCATTCAAGCGGCGCTCATATGTGTGTTTGAATGTTAGGTATCGCATGTGAGTATTGGATGGACCGTGTACTCATACTCGTACTCGCACTCGTGTTGATGGTCTATTTTTCTTCCTCTTTTCATCTCCAGGCCGTTTCTTGAGTCGCGGTCTCTTGTTTTTGCTCTTGTTGTTGTACATTGCCTGCCGGCAACCGGTCACGTTTACTGCACTGAAGAAAATTGTATAAACATTAGGCATTGGATCAAAATATTATCCATACTAAGTGGTAGTTAATACAATCGTATTAGAATTTCTCCTAAACTTTTAAAAATATAATGATCTACTGATCGTAAAATGTTATGAATATATAATGAATAATGTTTTAAGACACAGATCAACGAAATATCTTAATGATCTAATGAATGAATGTTATGAGTATACTATGAATAATGTTTTAAGAATCAGATCAGCGAAATATCTTATTGATCTAAGGAAATAAAATATTTCTTCTTGGTCTTATTTGTTGATATATTCAGGAAATGATCAAAGTTTTTCCTGTGTGCGCTTGTTGTTTCTGTTGACGCCAAGGGGAAACACCCTCCCCAAATCCCCGAACCCCCATTGTTTAAGTGGCTAAGATAGGTAGGCTTTGGATTGGAGCAGCTGTGTGTGCTCTATAACTGTAAAAACTCGCTCGCCCACTTCCTTAAGAGCCGGCATTTTGACCAAGGCGTCGTTTTGTTTGATTTCTGTTTCGTTTATATTGCCCCGATCGGATCTCCATCTTCGTGTCTATGTATATATCTTTTATTTTTTGGTATGGGGGACTCCACCATGAGTGTGTTAATTTTTAATTGTGCTAAATGTGCACATAAATACACAATAATCGCCCGGCAATAGCATTCACAATACACAATTCGTAATTCACAATTCACAATTTTCAGTTTCAACACCCACTCATAATTTGGCTTATTTGTGGCTTTTACCCGGCGTGCTTTTTTATTTTGTCTGATTTTATTGTCGTTGGCATTGGATCCCCACAGCTGTCTGGGTACGCGTTATATATCTGGGTTTGTGCATGACTTAATAGCTGATAAATGTTATATGGTGGGTCATATACCCAGACATTTACGGATCTCTATACTTTGCACACAATGCATTTGTCCAGCGGACATGTGGCCATTGGCCATTAGGGTGATAAACAAACGACATCAGTAGTTAAATCTAGGGGTCACAGTATGAACTTATTTATTCAAATATTGATTTCCTTATCGGGAGCAGGGTGACCCATATATGAATTGTCAGCAATTGATATCTCATAAAATATAAAATTAACTTTTGAGTAATGGTAAACCAAGCAAAGTAAATATTTAATAAAATTGGATTTTTATAAGTCTCAGGTCCCAAAATAATTCATATTTCGAGGAAAGCCATCATAAAAATATAAAAATTTTCCTAGTGCAAAATCAGAATTCCTTATTAAAATGCTTATTCATATGCTATGATCAACCAATGATCATAATTTTTATTCCTTAAAGGCATTTAAGCGGTTTTGTAAACAACTCAGAGTGTTCGGGGAATTGACCTTATGATTAATTATTTGGTTTTCTTCACTACGCTCTTCAAGTGATTTATTTCGCACACGAGCAATTAATATTAAAAATGTTTCAAGTTTATATAGTACATTATACTCTCCTCTTTTTTTTGGAAAAGCCTACCTCAAGCCAAAAATATAGTTCCTTTGATGTTTATGTTTAGAACAAAGCATTTAGTAAATATGGAAGCATCCCCTATGAACCATATTTTAAATGATTAATTCATAATCTTTTTCTGCCGGCAACGGGTTGTATGAGTAATATGTCTTTCGAATTTAATATTCATTGAAGTTTAGATTTGTTTCCCGTGCCAATCTGCAGTTATACATATTTTATTAATCTTTTCACAATAAACATTTTGGCGCAGCCATATTTCTCCAGGGGGCAAGGTGGGGTGGCAGCCAATTTGGCAACCACGAATGTATGTGGCATGTGGCAAGAGTCTTCTGCTCTGTTCTGTTCTGTTCGGTTCCTTTATTCTCTCGCCTGCAGATGCGGTTGCCACAACTTCTGAACAGTGTTTATGTGCGGAAGATGCTGGCTCATGATTCTGCGAATGGCGTGAACTTTACCCCCTGCCCCAAAGTTTTTCTAGACCCACTTCTTTAGCCTCCCGCTGTGATTTTAGATTGCCCCAAACCAACCGTATGTTTGTGTTAACAGTCAAAAGTATTTGCTCTGCGAAACGTGCACTTTTCCCCGGGGGTGTTAACAATTGGGCAAAATAATAAAGGCCAAGACGGGAAATACGGCAAATGTAAAACAGTTTGTTCAATTTATTAAGTGTTAGTACTTGGAAAATAGAAATAAATTAATTGGGCAAGTGGTGAGTTGAAAGACATTTATTTAATGTTTTATCTGCGAATTGTTAAAGGGTTTTAGTTATCGCTTTACAAAGATATTACTTAAATAGGTGGCAAAAAGTTGAATATTTAATTGAAACAATTTGAGTAATTTTATATAAGTATCATAGATTTTATAGATAGCATAGTCATATATTTTAAATTTTTTCTAACCATTATTTCTAAATATATATTCAAGATGTCACGTTTCATACATTAAAAATATGTTTGGTAATTAATTCAGAAATGGCAATTATAAAGTGTGTATATTATGCGCCAAATCTAATAAATCATTTAAAAATTTCACCAGTAATAAACCAATAAGCTTCATTATTTTATTAATAAATTATCAGTTTAACACACATATTCTTTGTGTGTGAATTTAACATAAATGTAGCCTTTCTGGTTCGCTGCCTACTTTCGGGCAGCAGCTGCAGAGTGCCCCGAGTTGAGCCTAAAAGTAGGCAATTGTGCAAACGAAAACCTGAATGCCAAATTAAGATTAAATTCGGGAAAACAAGCAAATAATTCAGCAACTGATTTACGAGCCAACTGGGACTGCCAGAACTGCAGAGTCTTTTGTACTTAAATTCCCCACTGATGGGTTGACACACAGAAGAATACATATTGTGCTAAAGTTTGTGGGTGTTGATATTAAGTGCTGAAAATATGCATGCTTTAATTGTCAGCCAGCTGCTGCTGCTGCGGAATTGTTCAAAGCTGCATTAAACTTCACTCAATAGCCCTCGAGTATTTCACAGATACTCAGATACCATCTAATGACTCGCATAAAGCGACAAATCGGAAGCGAAACAAATTAAAAAGCCACTAAAAATCGACAAAAAAATATGGTAAAAAACCCCCACACACGACACTCGATCTCCGCTGATCCGTTCATTAGGCGCAAACAAAGAGACAATGTCTGGTCGCCGTTTTCATCACCGTCATCGTACTCGAACTCACTTTTGATCAGCTCCGTCAAAATCAAATCTGCTCACCTCTTCTAACAAAGCATCATCACCCAAACACCTCAACTCAGGTGTCGCCTTTGTTGCGTCCATTGTCTATTGTCGACTTGACACCCGGTAGTTGAAAGATCACAAAATGGGGCGTATAAGGCGGTTGCAGATTTTGCCACACAGCTAGGGTATGCAGCTGATTGAAATCCATAAAAGATTGGCATCCCATATGAGGTGTGTTTTATTGCCTATATTTCCTGAAGAACTCAAATTGTTGATGACTGTACAGGTTGATGAACCTCGAGTGAAATAAGGAATAAAAAGTAATTAAATTGGATATGGTGCCTCAAGACAATTTCAAGGAATACGTTAAGTAAAAAATCATAAATTGAATGGCCTTACATGCTTTATTGGTTCTTAGGTATTTTAAGCTATATAATGTATACATCGAAGGCCTTCTACATATATGAAGAATATTTTTAACGCTTGTAATAATAAAATAATTAACGTACTTGATAAGGGAAAAGCTGTCCCAACAAAATACGGTCATATCATAAATTCTCGATAGGTTTCCAATGAACTTCGACTTTCTATTTAAAATTCTAAGCCATAAACCCAGCTTTATAATTAAAAGAATATTATGCAAATATATTGATGATTTTACATAAATGAAATTATAAATATGCTAAAGAGATCTTTAACTTCTGTAAACCTTTCCTACTGAGTATCACATCATCGAACCTTGGAACCATAGCCAAGTTCTATTGATTGCGGTGATGTTTGCATGCCGGTGTAAACGCTAATTTGTTAAATGAGCTGTTGGTGCCCGCTCGCGATGGCCAATTAGAGCGATTTCCGTTGCATAAATTACGAGTGTAACGTTTTCCCCAAACCCTGCCTGGAAAAAGAGGGCTAATTTACATAATACCTGTGCGTTTGTATGGGCCTGGGTTACACCCACGCACTCTGTCAGTCAGCTGGCGGTGAACACATTTAGCCATAATGCATAATACAAGCGGCTCAAAGCGTGTGGAACGCGATGATGAAGTTAATACGCTAAATTGGTCAAAACAAACGAAACGAGCAAAGTCGAATGTCGAGCCACACAGCGAGAGAGATGGCGACAGTTTTTGCGAAAGAGACGGCAAGCGAGCGGGTTGGGTAGAGCCACGGAAATTCTAGTGATCCGCGTAATAACTGAAGTTGGGGCTCTCAGTTGCTCAGCGGCAGTTGACAGCGTCGGTTCGTGGATCAGCGATCGTAGATCGTGATTTTTGGCCCGCCGCTCGCCAAGGTTAATTAGCCAAGATTCGAGATTCAAGATTCGAGATACGATATCCGAGATTACACCGAGAAAAAGAGAGCGAAGATCACCATCGATCCTCTAGTGATGTCGTTTTTTCGTAACATACGCTCCTCCCTGTCCTCGTCGTCGCGGGCCAAGAGTTCCCGCTCCTCATCCCGCGACACGACTCCGGTTCGATCCGCATCCCGTCCAGGCAGCGTGATCAGCGGAGTGGGTTCCCAACGCCGGGACTCCACAACAAGCTCGACCTTGCAGCGCGGCGATACCTTCATACTGCCCAATTCGGAAGAGGAGGCGGGACCTGCTTCGAACACCTCCACCCTGGAGAAGAAGTCTAAAAAGTCCAAGGTCTTTAGCAAGTTTAGCACTTTTACAAAGCGCAAGAAGACTCCATCCCCCGAGGAAGTGGCCAGCTATGAGCACCATCCCAGTGATACGGCCACAAATACCTACTATAAATGGCGCAGCGATGGAGCGGATCGTCTCCAGGACTACGATGCTCAGGCGGATCCCTTCAACTTCCTCTACGAGCAGCACTCCAATCGGAGGGCTCTGCAATCGGGTGAACCCAGTAGTATCCATCGACAGGCCAGCATTGGTTCCAATTCCAGTGGTAGCTTCGATTCATCCACCTATCGTAAGAGCAAAACACCCACCCATTTGCGGGAGCAGCTGGAGCAGCTGAAGACCCACTCGAACGATGATCTGCTGGAGGATCAGCAGCGGGAGGAGGACGAGCGGGAGAAGTACAAGACAGTCACCCTGAATAGCTTTAGGAAATCCTTCAGGGATCGCCTGCTGCAGCAGCAGAAGGAGACGCCCCACAATCCCGCCTGGTTTGTGGAAGTTCCCGCTCAACAATCGTCGACGAAACCCTTGGAACGTCGCGAATCCAAGGAGAATCGTCCGGATTTCTTGGTCTTCGATAATGATAACTACCGACCGCAATCCCGTTCTCCTCTCCGGGATCGTCCCTCTCGTTCCGCCACCCGTTCTCCAGTGAAACGCAACGAGACTTTCCGGGTGACACAGCCCACAGTGCGTCACATGTCACCATCGCCGGCTCCTACTCCCTCAATCCGCATCGAGATCAAGAACTCCATATCGCCACACTCTCCGGGGAGATTTGTTCCGGTTGGTGTGGCCAAGCCAATGCCCACCACGGAGTACTATGCCCAAAGATTGCTGGCCAATAGAACCAGCATGAGTCCCAGTCCAGGTCAATATCAGGGCTCTCGATGGTACCGCCAACAGACCTCACCCACCAGGTTGAGTGTGGGTCAGCAGAAGAACCACCTCAACCAGCAGCAGGAGCAGCACCCGCAGTATAATCATAGCCAGCAGAACCCTCACCATAATCATAGTCAGCAGAACCCCCACCTTAATCAACAGCAGAAGGGAGGACGAACCCTGGTGCACATAGGAGCGGATCAGAGTAAAGCTATAGCCCCTCCAACTAGGGGAAGGGCCCCCACAAGGGTCCAGCTATACGGAAATAAACCGCAGAGTAGACCTCAGCCGGCGACCTACTTCGGGGGCCACTATAATGCACCTGTGAAGCCCATCCCTCGAGCGTCCTCCACCGGAGGTCCCACTGTATTTCTGGGGCGTCGCGAACAACCAATGATGACACGTGCCACCAGCAATAACAACACCACCGCCCACATTGCCGCCCCCATGCCACGTCGCAATCGATCGCCGATCAAAATGCCCTGGCGGTAGGCGTTAACCGAATATATATTTATAAATATATACTGAGAATGGAGAGTCAAGAATGAGTGGATTACATATATAGCGAATCTTTCCAAAGTGACAAAGTCACTGATATTGCGTCATTATCAGAGCTGGGAGCTCAGCTTTGCAAACGCTGTTTTCGCCCATCCGATAATGGGCAAATAAATGATTTATGTATCCATCAGTCCGAACAATCCGTATCGTGTGTTGTGAATTTTTTCTACGTAAAATTATTGTTAAGTAAATAAAAAAACAAACAAAAATAAACGACAAACAGATAATGCAAAATGTTGGAACCGGCGGGGAACTTTTTAAATTTTAATGGCTTCAGCGAACCCGAAAAAGCACTCGGGGTATTTCTAGTATAGAGTGTTAATTGTCACTTTTGAGTTGCCCCCGAAAAGAGTGGAGTGCTCTAAAAAGAATTGTTAGTTCAACGGATATACGAGCATATCGCTTTATGACTGTATGACTAACTGTGCATGAAAATGAGCGAGCGTTACGTGACAAGCATTAAATATGGTCACTCGATTGGTCTGAATGGGGAGGGTGCGGAGAATGTCTAGTTAGAAAGCAGCTGATGAGCTTTTGGCCATATTTGGTTTGGAAAAAATGAATTCGTACTCGCACGCAAATTATGGAATAAATTGTCTTGCCCCAAGCCAAAACGCAAGGAAATGGTGATGTCAGTCGTCTATCTTTGCGCATCCAAGTTTTTCACATTAGGGATGCATCGCAATCGAAACAGGTTCAAAATATTTTAACTATATTTACTTGAATTCGAAATGACTAAGACATCCTCATAAAAAGGGTTGTGGTATAAATTGTCCTTCGATTAGCCTGCACACAAACCAATGGTAAAGTCAAGGGCCTTTCTATGCGCTTCTCAAAAAGTTTACTTGCTCTTTTTTAACTATTTAAGAATTCAATTAAAACTGTTAGAATTAATTATTACTAATAAAAGTTTACGATTTGATTGCACCTGTTGCAGTTTCTAAATATAGATTGTTTTGATGGCGCAGCAAGTTCTATATTCTTGTCATTAAGTTAATAGCGGCCCGTTATATTATCTTTGCTTGTATTAAACTTTATATAGGTGTGCAAAATAAAAAGAATAAGAACCAAAATAAGGTATATAAGAACCAAGAATATTTTATTTAGCACTCATTAATTGATGTCATCTGGTAAAGCGGTATTCTTGTATTTTTCTCAGAGGGGCTGATTGCATGAAATGGCCACATAAACTCAGGTTTCGCTGTCCGCATCCGTCTTTTGGCTGTCCACTAGTGGATTCCATTAGTGGATCATTGCCCCAGTCTAACTTCGGCTTAACTCTCCGCACATTTCACTTTCTAATCTGGTAGCAACGAGGCCAGGAAAAAAAGACTCGTCTCTGGCCAAAAACTCTTTTAAGAGGCAAGATCATAGAGACATCTTTGGTCAGTGCAACTACAACTTTAGTTTTTGCTTGGGAGTACGCATGATCTTGAACTACATTAGTCTCAGTTGGCGACGCACTTTGTCTGGCCAGCTTTTCTGTTGCGTTAATGTTAACTAGAGTGTGAAAATCACTAAGTTTGCAATGTAAGCTAATACGCAGATTAACCTTGCCTATATGAATGGGATCTTGGCGCTATTTTGCGTGGGTTTAAAAAACAGGTTGAAATCAGACTTTGTATCGTCATCATCACTGTCAGTTAATAGCATCGGACTAATTCGTGATCGTTGGGTCGGAGGTTCCCTCAACTCATTTCCCAGAAACATCACTTGTTCCGTCTGTAAATTTGTTAATTTGGCTTGTATTTTTTGGTACTTTACTTAAGTGTGTCGGTTTTTTTTTGGGTCTCTCTCTCTATTATTTGGGTTGTGTTTTGCAATAAACAAACACTTACTGTTCTGTTGCTTGCGCTTTATAAGCTATACTATATACAAGAGTTTATTTTTTTATACTACGCATAGATTCATTTCCAAGTAACCGAAGACCGGTTTTCTGTTGCCGCCAACTGAGACGACGACCTACGGATTTTACTACCCTCTAGCGGTTTCTTTAGTTGAGGTATTTTGGATTGCCATAACAAAAGGTGATAATTGGGGAAAACCTGTAAAAGTTAATAAAAGTGGAGAGCATATAAATTGTCCTAATGGTTTTATTTGATGTACAAGATATTCATATATTATTTTGAACCAACAATTCAGTATTGCTTAAAGCATGTTTCTAATAACATAAAAGTAATACTAATTGAATATTAAATGAAGTAGTTATCGAACTATACATTTAATATACTTTTTATTTAACAAATCAATTTTAAGCTATAGAAAATGGGTATATTTTAATATTCTTCGGCAACACTGCGTATGAGTGATTTTAACTCTAATCTTGAAATGATCACAAAGCTTTGTGTATAATTCTTAGGTATTTTATAGTCGATCTGCAGACCGAACTACTCTCATTTTACTGCAGACAAACAGTCAACAGCCGGTGGCATAGCGTCATTGTTCGAAAATGTGGTGGCTGAGCGAACTTTGATTCAAATTTGTGTATTTTTTCGATATTTTTCTATAAATTTCGCTCGGCTGTGCCAGAATTTAAGCACCGAGTGGGAGTTCCCCAACTGAGTGGGTTTATCAGAACTGGACTGGCCACCACTAGAGCCAGATTTGTCTGCGCTAAATATTACAAGACCCCGAGCCAAAAAAGGCAATTGCAGCATAATATTTTCTCATAACGCGCACCAATCCCAACTCATGTTTATTTATACTAGATATTATGATAATTAAAATGAAATTGGTACACAGTCGGACAAGAATCCCCATGACATCATGGATTCGGATGAGAGATTGGAGGCGGAATTCGGAATTGGTTGATAATCTAGGCATTACATTAAATCCGATGGGGTGAAATGTGTTTAATATCAAATTACAGCTCGAACATTATGTGAAACTTTCGCCATCATGGATTTATTGACATGCCCATTCGATTAATTTGCGACACATTAATCTTTGCACAGAGAGGGAATACAAAAGAAGAAAAAAAGAACCATCAAAGTCAAAGCGGAAGACAAAGCGGCGACCCGCCTAAGTGGAAATCAAACATTTGCGGAACAGCGGGCCAAGTTGCAACTTAATGCCAATAATATCCGCGCGTCAGGCGCAAATGTTTGCCCTGTCTGTCGGGCCCTCGTAGGAGGACTCTGGTACTCGTACTCGTACTCGTACTCCCATTTCCCATTTGCCACTCGTCCTTATGCCCCTGCCATTGTCTCCCCGGCATTTATTCCGCCGCTTTGAACTGGGTCAGCATCGATTTTTGGCCAGCGACGTGTCACAATTATCGCTGCGATGGATTCGATGGCACCCAAATGGCTGCTCTCGGTAAAAAAAAACCAGGAAAATGGGATGTGTTTTTTTTCTACCCGAATATTAGATACCTGGTCTCGTGTGTAATGCATAAATTGTGCGGCCTACCTTGGGGAGTTGGGCCTTTAAAGCTTATTGGTTACTATAGAAATTATAGGACATGATCGTTGATCTTATATTAATCATAGTAACAGGGGGGTAACGCAAAAAAAACTATACTTAATTTTATGTTTTCTTCACAATAAAGCTAAAAAAAGATCATACTTATATGAAGATCTAATTTTAAAATATTGCTTATCTCTTATCTTTAACAAACTTGATCATAAGATTCTTTATTACGAATTTAAGTCTAGCATTACCATAAATAAAAGAGATCCACACAAAAATGCATATATGATATTTGGGATTTATCCTCAAAATAAGATTTACAAAATATTTTACAAACCAAATTGATTTTAATAACTTGTCCTGAAAAGTTATTGTATAGGTGGTCTCTGCATATGTAAAAAACATGTTAAAGAATATTCAAGGAATATACACTTTTTAGAAATAGAAAATGATGTTGTCTTTGATCTGTAGAACAGGATCACCTTATTTGTTGCTTCAAAATATGTATCTAAAATACGATACAGCTTCATCTTTCCTGTTACATAATCACCAGCAAATACAATATACCTTTCAACTTAGGAAGTTATAAAAATCCAGCCGAGTGCACTGAGGGCAGCCCAGGACATCCTGAATATTAATGTGCCGGGTCAAAGCTATGAAAAGTCAAGTCTCGTGTTTATTGGCAAGCGTCGAGGATTACATATAGCCGGCTGAAAAAGAACCAAAACAATTTTTACTGCAGTCCTCGTCGAAATACACGGCACAAAGACAAAGGCAAGTTGGCCAAAAATGGAAGCGTGCCAAGTGCAATTTCTGTGTTTTGCTCCCTCTGTTTTGTTTGTTGGCTTTCTGGCTCGGCGTGTATATTTTTGGAACAAGTGCAACATCCACGGCGGCAACTGCAACATCCAATCCATGGCAGAAGCAGCAACTGCCACCGCCACAAGCATATTCATCCGCCGCCGTTTGAGCTTAACTTCTGGCATGTGGCATCGGTTTGGGCCTCCGTTTTCTTTGCCTTCCCGGCAGCTGGCCAACTGCGATTGCCATGCATTTGCATCCGCAGTCCGGCCATTTCGGATATGGCCAGAAGAACAGAAGTACATGGAATTGTTTGGTGCAATGGCGCGTAAATGAGCAGGGCACAAATTAAGTTGTACAATCGTAAATCGGTTTTGTCTGGGCGCCTTGTTTTTGTTTTCCCATTTCAGCGTGTTTTTTAATATATTAAAAAAGGTGTGTTTTGGCAAGCAGATAATGCATATAGATGTAGTCGTTGGCAACGGAATAATAAGCTTGAAAAGTACAAAGGGTAATTATCTTAATGCATTTAAATAGACCCTTTCCATTTGATATTCCTTGTGATTAAAAATTAGGAAGATGCTTCAAATCTAACCTTGTTTGACTATTTTAAAAAATGTAAAAAGATTTGCTTATTTAAAAAATTTGCTATAATAACTAAGTATATATTATGTTCAGTCTTGTAATAAATAATAACTATAATCTGATTTTTCATATTATAAATATTTCCTTAGTTTATAATGATTATAGTTTTGTTGGTAGGTTGTTTTAATTAAACACTTACATGTGAACACAATAATGTAAGTAGTTAAATAAGCTCAGCTATTCAAAAATAATTGGGTTTTATTATCATGTAAGATGTTTTTTTATATCTTTTTCACGTGTGAGGATTTAAACATGGCCATAATCTTTACTGTTTACTTTATCTCTGACATTTAACTACATAACTAATTGATTTGTTTTTATTATCTTTTTCAAGGGTGCCATCATAAGAGAGGTTGAAGATGGAGTTCGC